TGACAGGGTTAGATATAATACAATTAAGGTATTTTGATTTTATTGTGTAAAGTATGCGTTACCATTTAATCGGAATTGTTTATCTACATTCTTGGAAATTTGTAGGGTCGGTTCCGTTCTATGCCCACCATCAAATCCTGTTCCTATAACATCACATCTACGTGCGCAGATTGTTGTATTTAATGTTAAGATTCCTATAACAAAGGGGTTTCCAGTGAGTAAAAATGATTGATAATTATTTTAACATAATAAATAACAAAATAATAATTAAATATATTTTTTTAATAGGTCATACTTCATAGACAGAGCATTAACGAACCTGCTAATATAATAGAGTTAATATCTATTGTAAATAAAAGTACGGGGGCAGTATTAAAGAAAAATCCAAGGTTTTCATTATTTTATATTATACTTTACAATATGTTATAACAAAAAATAACAAATTCATATTTAATAAACTCTTGACCTAGACACATACCTAAATTTTCAACAGCCATCGTTGAAATTAAGTTGTCTAATAGAGCAATTCCTTTTGAAACATTTAAAGAAAGTAAAGAATTCGGTAGAATCATGTTAAGAAAAGGTGGTGAAACAATTGCTGCAGGGGTTGTTCAAGAAGTATGTATAATTTTTCTATTTATTCTTAATGTAGTATTTTAGAGTTTGTTTTAATATTTTTTTATTTAATTAGATATTGTCTTCTGGATCTTGATCGTTTCATTTTATTAACTGCAAAAAAATATGTAAATTAAGAACTTATCACAAAATGCATATACATAGATATACGTAATAACACTTTTCATTCAATATTGTAATTGTATAGGCTTATATAAGCGCAAAAAATGTGTAATTTACATTTTAAAGTGCTTTAATATATATATATATTTAGGTTAAAATTTTGTGATTAAATATTTATACAATCTTTTAAGTAAATATTTTTAAACATAGTTGCATATAATATTTAATTGTATATTTAATAAATATAATATTTATTAAAGTGTATATATGTGAATGAATTATTTAAAAAAATTTTTAATTGATATGATTTTGAATTAATGTAATTAAAGATAGGTTTCAAAATTATTTAGTATATAAAATTTATTATTTTAATAAGAATATAATTCAAAAAACACTTAAAGTAATCTAAATTGCAAAAAATCTTTGTAAATAGTTTTTTTCAAATTTTATATTTAATAAAAAAAAAATTTTTTTAAAGAATAACAGAGATCTATTTTTAAATATAACTTAAAAAAATCACAATTATATATATATA